TACAATTATATTTAAACCATTGTAAATTTAATAATGCCACATGTCAATTTTGTCAAAATTAGGTTCAAAAGCAATATTTGAAACAGCTATAAATAATTTAATTCAAGCATCTCCTGATGCTCTACAGGAGATTACATTTAGCGATAATAAGTTAATTAAATCAGAAACAACGCAATTACCTACGTTTACACTAACTAGTAAAAACCTTACCCTTATCCCCACGCCGTCTATTTTGTTGCATATTCGTATATTGGATTTATCACATAACAAGCTTACTTCTATTACTTTTATTTCCAATTTGATTCATCTACAAGAAGTAGACATTCGTAATAATTGCATATCAAGTATAAATGGAGTGAACAGGTTAAGATTTTTAAGAGTGCTAAATGTTCAATCAAATTTAATAGGATCATGGGAAGCAGTTAGAAATGGTTTTGTGAAATGGCAAGGTGGTGAATGTAGAGTATATTTATCTGGCAATCCGTTTATAGATGAGAGTTTCGAGAAGGAGACGAAATGGAAAACAGAGATGAATGAAATAGCACGGAACGTTAATATTACGATTAGATCTTAAATACCAATTCAATTTTATAATTATTTTTAAATTTTATGGATATGTTTTAATAAAATAATCATTGTCTCAGGCGTGTATTTTCTAAATATTTATAATCTATTAAAAAAAGATCCTCAAAAATATGGGGTTTGTGGCATACTTCTAATCTCATTTCTTGAGACAGACAGTTAAGCTTTTGGTGGTGGACATCTTATTTCTAGTTCTTTCGAGTAAATATAAGTGATATTGTTTGACTAAGTTTAAAGCGCGCAGCAAAATAGTCGGTATATTCATAAACGAACGTGTAGAAAGCGATTTCAGACGTGGACTGCCTTTTATCACACTCGATGCTGTCTCTGATAATGGTGAAAATAATGAATATAGTACGTTATCGTTATAAATGTCGTCAGCTAAAGATGCAGGCGAAACTCATAAGTCGGAATATTTTATTATCTCTAAAGAATCAAATACTATAGTTTAAAACTATCTAATTTTAAAACAAAATTCAAACATATATACTTTTCAATCCAATAAAATATTTTTATTATTTAAACATTACGGCAGTATTACATAACAAATGTAATCTATATAAACCTTTTCTAACCTCTTATTCTAACACTAACCCTAGCATTAAACTAAAACTTAACTATAATACATAATATAATGCAAGTTAGTCATTGAACAGTCGTT